GAGGACCCAGACTGTGGGGGCGATATGCTGACTCTGTAAACTGCTTAGAGAGGGCTGAAAGCCCTATGAAGCAGTATATAAGTCTAACTGCTATTAGACCAGGACTCTAGCTTTAGGATGACGAAAAAGGTTTTGAGAGCCGTGATGGCACATTGGTTAGAAGGCAGTATTGCAGGCAAACTCTGCAGTCCACTGCCAGGAGTTCAATTCTGACCAGCTCAAGGGTTGATTCAGCCTTCCATCTTTCAGAAGTTGGTAAAATGAGGACCCGGATTGTAGAGGGGAATAGGCTGTCTCTGTAAACCGCTTAGAGAGGGCTGTAAAACACTATGAAGCGGTGTAGAAGTCTGCTATTGCTATTTGAGGGAATGGACTGCCAGAAATCATGTGATAGTTCTTGGTTTGTGACCTGGAAACATCCATCTCTTTCCTTTAGGCTCATTCTGTGTCATTAGCTCTCTACCAGAAATCCAGCACTGAAGTTGGATCCACAGCATTATTCCTGGGAAAGGCTTATGCTGCTACAGGAGAAGAGAATCACACTGGTAATTATGGAGTCAAACCATCAGATAAATATTGATTCATAGTCCCTGTCTTTTTAAAAATAACTCAAGGTGACAAATGTATGATGGCAGCAGCAAAGCAGGATTCCTCTGGTTCATGTTTTCAGTAACTAGGAGGTTCTTTGATTAATGTTTCTAGTAGATTAAGAAGAAAACAAACTATGAATGGGAAATATACAGCCCAATAAGAACTGCTTCGAAACTGCCAAGGACACCGACTTCCACTTTGGTGACTTCCAAACTTGTTATAATAGGAAAACCACACTTCTTGAATATTTCGTTGAGCATTAACAAGATCGTACTAAGAAGCTGGAATGTTCTGTATTACATGCTAAAGCTACTGGGCAATATACATCAGTGGTGGGATTCAATTAGTTTTTACTACCTGTTCTGTGGGCGTGGCTTGGTGGGCGTGGCAAGGGAAGGATGCAAAATCCCCATTCCCTCACCACCCCATTAACCTGCTTTCCAGCTCCATTCTCCTGCTCAGGCCAACAAAAGAAGATCAGATGGGAGGCAGTAGGGGTGGGAACAGCCTATTTGCTGGTTCTCTGAACTACTCAAAATTTCTGCTGCTGGTTCTCCAGAACCGTGGCACGACAAAACTGCGCTCGTCAAAATCGCGGTGATAAAATCGCAGCGCTAAAGCCGCGACGTCATCACCGCCGCGACAACAGCGCAGCAACAGAAGGGCGCTTTAAAACGGCGCCGCG